TGACTTCGGCCCCGGTGGCATCTCTGGTCTGGGCGTTCTGACCAACAGGAACAAGGACGGTACCGGTGTTCGGGTCATTCTCGCTGGTGAAATGGACGGAACCAATGCGGAGGTCGGTTACAAGCCAGAACTGTTCGACCGTGATGAGCATTCTGTCAAGTTTGCTGTGGACTGGGTCAAGGAACACGGCCCTCGCCTGACACAGACATCTACCGGACAAACCTACGTGGATACCAAGATGAGCCGTCTGTTGGGAATCCCACCTGTCATGGTGGCTGGTATGACACCCACCACCGTTGCCTGGGACTTTGTGGCTGCTACTATGAACGCCGGTTATCACATCGAGCTGGCTGGTGGTGGCTACTACAACGCCAAGACGATGACGGAGGCCATTACCAAGATTGAGAAGGCTATCCCTCCTGGCCGTGGCATCACTATTAACCTGATCTATGTCAACCCCCGTGCGATGGCCTGGCAGATTCCGTTGATCGGTCGGTTGCGCGCAGAAGGCGTGCCGATTGAGGGTCTGACCATTGGCGCCGGTGTGCCATCTATTGAAGTTGCCAATGAATACATTGAAACTCTTGGTATCAAGCACATTGCCTTCAAGCCCGGCTCCGTCGATGCGATTCAGCAAGTCATCAATGTTGCCAAGGCTAACCCTAAGTTCCCCATCATCCTTCAGTGGACTGGTGGCCGTGGCGGTGGTCACCACTCCTTCGAGGACTTCCACCAGCCCATTCTCCAGATGTACAGCCGTATTCGCAAGCAAGATAACATTGTGCTTGTTGCCGGCAGTGGCTTCGGTGGTTCGGAGGACACTTACCCTTACCTCTCGGGCAAGTGGTCCGCCAAGTTTGGCTACCCTCCTATGCCCTTCGACGGCTGTCTCTTCGGCTCTCGCATGATGATTGCGAAAGAGGCACACACCTCTTACAATGCCAAGAAGGCAATTGCTGATGCCCCTGGCGTGGACGATGCGGAATGGGAGAAGACCTACCAGAAATCAACAGGTGGTGTGATCACTGTTCTGTCTGAGATGGGTGAGCCCATCCATAAGCTGGCCACTCGCGGCGTTCTGTTCTGGCAGGAGATGGACCAGAAGATCTTCAAGCTCGACAAGGCCAAGCGTGTGCCCGAACTGAAGAAGCAACGGAACTACATCATCAAGAAGCTGAACGATGACTTCCACAAGGTCTGGTTCGGTCGCAACGCTGCAGGCGAGACTGTTGATCTGGAAGATATGACTTATGCTGAGGTTGTTCGCCGCATGGTGGAACTCATGTACATCAAGCACGAGTCGCGATGGATTGATCCCTCACTCAAGCGCTTGACGGGTGACTTCATCCGTCGTGTCGAGGAGCGTTTCACTACTGCGGAAGGCCAGGCATCGCTGCTCCAAAGTTATTCCGACATTGATACCCCCTACCCTACCATTGACAACATTTTGTCTGCTTACCCCGAAGCTGCCGATCAGCTGATCAACGCGCAAGATGTGCAGCACTTCCTGCTGCTTTGCCAGAAACGTGGCCAGAAGCCCGTGCCTTTCGTCCCCGTGCTGGATGAGAACTTTGAGTTCTTCTTCAAGAAGGATTCTCTGTGGCAGAGTGAGGATCTTGAGGCTGTTGTCGATCAAGACGTCGGCCGAACCTGTATTCTTCAGGGTCCTATGGCTGCCCGCTTCTCCAACGTCATCGATGAGCCTGTTAAGGACATTCTTGATGGTGTTCACCAGGGACACATTGCTGGCCTCCTGCGCGATGTGTACGGTGGCGACAACACCAAGATTCCTGTCATTGAGTACTTCGGCGGGCAGCTTATGAGCACCACCGAATCCGACTCTGACGGTTTGATTATTTCGGAAGAGCCAAGCAAGACCAGCTTCCGCTTGTCTTCTACTGCAGCCTTGCCAGACTTGGACCGCTGGCTCGGTCTTCTTGCCGGCAACGTCTACTCTTGGAGACATGCTCTGTTCTTGGCCGATGTTTACGTTCAGGGCCACCGCTTCCAGACCAACCCCATGAAGCGGATTGTCGCTCCCACCGCAGGCATGTATGTGGAAGTATCCAACCCCAATGATCCTGCCAAGACTGTTATCAGTGTGCGAGAGCCGTACCAGTCTGGCAAGTTGGTCAAGACAGTCGAGGCCAAGATCAACGAGAAGGGGCAGATCAGTCTGAGCCTGTTTGAAGGCCGCACCGCCGAGCATAGCGTTGTCCCCTTGAACTTCTTGTTCACTTATCACCCGGAGACTGGATACGCTCCTATTCGTGAAGTTATGGGTGACCGCAACGATCGCATCAAGGAGTTCTACTACCGGGTCTGGTTCGGTAACAAGGACGTGCCCTTCGACACCCCCACTACTGCTACCTTCAGTGGTGGCCAGAAGACCATCACTGCCCAGGATGTTGCCGACTTTGTTCACGCAGTTGGCAACACCGGCGAGGCTTTCGTTGACCGTCCTGGCAAGGAGGTCTTTGCCCCTATGGACTTTGCCATCGTGGCAGGCTGGCAGGCAATCACCAAGCCTATCTTCCCTCGCACCATTGACGGAGATTTGTTGAAGCTCGTTCACCTGTCTAATGGATTCAAGATGGTTCCCGGCGCCCAGCCCCTAAAGGTCGGCGATGTTCTGGACACAACAGCCCAGATTAACTCTGTCATCAACCAGGATTCTGGTAAAATGGTCGAGGTCTGCGGTACCATCAAGCGAGACAACAAAGCCATCATGCATGTCACCAGTCAGTTCCTGTACCGGGGCGCTTACACGGACTACGAGAACACCTTCCAGCGCAAGGATGAGGTCCCCATTCAGGTTCACCTAGCAACCAGCCGGGACGTTGCCATCCTCCGTTCGAAGGAATGGTTCCGCATGGATGACGCTGAGATTGAGCTTCTGGGCCAGACCCTGACGTTCCGCTTGCAGAGCTTGATCCGTTTCAAGAACGCCACTGTCTTCAGCAACGTCCAGACCGTTGGACAGGTTCTTCTCGAGCTTCCCACCAAGGAGGTCATCCAAGTTGCATCTGTCGAATACGAGGCAGGTGACTCACACGGTAACCCCGTGATTGATTACCTCCAGCGTAACGGAACCTCCATTGAGCAGCCGGTCTACTTTGAAAACCCCATCCCGCTCAGTGGCAAGACCGCTCTGGAACTGCGTGCTCCCGCCTCTAACGAGACCTATGCCCGTGTGTCTGGTGACTACAACCCCATCCACGTGTCCCGTGTCTTCTCCAGCTACGCCAACTTGCCTGGAACCATCACCCACGGCATGTACAGCAGTGCTGCTGTTCGCAGCCTTGTCGAGACCTGGGCTGCTGAGAACAACATTGGCCGTGTCCGTGGTTTCCAAGTCTCGCTGGTCGGTATGGTTCTGCCCAACGACATGATCACTGTCAAGCTGCAGCATGTCGGCATGATTGCTGGTCGCAAGATCATCAAGGTTGAAGCCAGCAACAAGGAGACAGAAGAGAAGGTTCTAGAGGGTGAGGCCGAGGTTGAGCAGCCAGTCACTTCCTACGTCTTCACTGGCCAGGGTTCTCAGGAGCAGGGCATGGGTATGGAGCTGTATGGTTCTAGCCCAGTGGCCCAGGAGGTCTGGGACCGAGCTGATCGCCACTTCATGGAGAACTACGGTCTCTCCATCATCGACATTGTCAAGAACAACCCCAAGGAGTTGACAGTCTACTTCGGTGGTCCTCGGGGTAAGGCCATCCGGGAGAACTACATGGCCATGACCTTCGAGTCAGTGAACGCCGATGGGTCCATCAAGTCTGAGAAGATCTTCAAGGAGGTCGATGAGAATACCGCCTCGTACACCTACCGGTCTCCCACGGGTCTTCTCTCTGCCACCCAGTTCACTCAGCCAGCCTTGACTCTGATGGAGAAGGCCAGCTTCGAGGACATGCGCGCCAAGGGACTGGTGCAGCGCGACAGCAGCTTCGCTGGCCACTCACTTGGTGAATACTCGGCTTTGGCTGCCCTGGCTGATGTCATGCCCATTGAGAGCTTGGTGTCTGTTGTGTTCTACCGCGGTCTGACCATGCAGGTCGCCGTCGAGCGTGATGCACAGGGTCGCTCCAACTACTCCATGTGCGCTGTCAACCCCAGCCGTATCTCCAAGACTTTCAACGAGCAGGCACTACAGTACGTTGTCGAGAACATTTCCGAGACCACTGGCTGGCTGCTGGAGATTGTCAACTACAACGTTGCCAATATGCAATATGTCGCAGCCGGTGACCTCCGTGCTCTTGACTGCCTCACCAATCTGCTGAACTTCTTGAAGGCGCAGAACATTGACATTCCCGCTCTTATGGAGAGCATGTCTTTGGAGGACGTCAAGGAGCACCTGGTCAGCATCATCCAGGAATGTGTCAAGCAAACCGAGGCCAAGCCGCGTCCTATCTCCCTGGAGCGTGGTTTCGCCACCATTCCTCTCAAGGGTATCGATGTTCCCTTCCACAGCACCTTCTTGCGCTCTGGTGTGAAGCCTTTCCGTTCCTTCTTGCTGAAGAAGATCAACAAGACCACCATCGACCCCAGCAAGTTGGTCGGCAAGTACATCCCCAACGTCACTGCTCGTCCCTTCGAGATCACCAAGGAATACTTCGAGGATGTCTACCGCCTCACCAACTCGCCCCGCATTGCCTCTATCTTGGCGAACTGGGAGAAGTACGAAGAGGGCAACGAAAATGTTGCGAAATAATGTATTCTTGTTGATATCCTCTTCATAATGTTGCGTTTTTGATAGACCATTTTTGTTTCATGGGTCATTATGTGATATGTCTCAGAGCCTTGGAGTTCAAATGTTTTTATGTGCATGTATATGAGTTCAGTTTGCATTTTAATATAGTAGTGTTCGAGATCAGTTGTACCTTCACTCTTGCGCTTGCGCTCCTGGAATAGTCTCTGTATTCTACAATATATAGATGGAACCTCAAACGACCTTGGAATGTATTCAACATCAAACTACATATGTAAAAACATAATCATCAGGGTTATGGGAGTGGCAACATGCCAGTGAATTGATCAGCCCCCTCAATGGGACTCACCCACTTCAATCGCTGCTCGGTGTATATCTCCACCACCGGCGTCCGTTCATGCAAAATCCTGCTATCATCAAATATTCCTGCCCGGACGACTGTAGTCTCGTCGGAATCTCCGTTTGACTTTATCTTCCGTCCAAAAAGTGGCGTGCCTATCACCTTTGTCAGATGCTGTCTTCCCCCAGCTTAGTATAATACAAACCACAGTCAGGACAGAAATAATTCTTAATCGCATTTCCACTATCCGATGTTTTTGCCACTTCTTTCGGACTGCCAGAAACATGCAGTTCTGCACTTTTGACGAGGAAATTGTAGCTATAGGGTGACCCGGTCAGCTTGCGGCAATCGAGACAATGGCACAGTGCCTTGGAAAAATAATATTAGCTTGATTCAATCCTAAATTGGCTCTTATGAGTTGTACTAACCGATGCCAGAGGCTGGCCACTGTATTCGACTCGGACTTTGCCGCAGAAACAGCCGCCAACAGCCATTGTTATAGAGAATAGAGGAGTCTGGAGTATCCCAGAAGCAATTCACGAAAACTTCAAGAGACGTACAAATAGTAGCCCAGGTGTTCCAAGGTTGCTTACCATCCATTAATTAACTTATGACTAAGCGCTTGGTGGCCCCAACAATAAACTATTGGGGGCCCAATTCTTTAATGTATAGTATCGACTAATTTGAACAAGCTTTCCTCTTGATATAGTGCAAGATAAATCTTGTCCGCAATGTTGACTGCTTCCGAAGATGCTTCGCACACGGTCGGTGACGTTAGACGGATTGGAATAAATCCATACACTGGACTTTGCCCAGGCTGTATTGTCGATATTTGCTAGTGGGCGGATTGCGTTTGCAAAGGTCGCATTGGGAGTAATTGAGTTCGCGAGGGAGGTAGTGGCTGTTCTCACATCGTTTACCAATTTGGTCGCATTTTGTACGAGCTCTGTCGCGCTGATGTTGAATGTTGGTGGATGGGGGATTGACATTTTGGGATAATAAGTGGTATTTGAGATAAAGACGGCGAGGGAAGGGGGTATGGACATTAGCACTCTGCTCCCTAGAGCTGCTTTATCAGTTGCGCTAATAAAGAGCATTGGCAGGGGGTTAATCCTTCGAGGCTCCTTGTCCAATGAGCTATGATATATTTCACACTGTATACTATTGCTGTGGTATCAGCTTTGACTCCATTTGGCGACCCAATTCCAGAATAGTATCCTTGGCCATACACTCTGATTCTCTTCTTTCCCGCAAGTTTGATGCTCATGGCTCTATGCCATCTCATATTTGAATGTCTCTCTCAATATATCTCCCATAGCTCGAACGTGCTCCCTCGCTTGCGCCCCCCTGCCAGCAATCTTTCCCACAACCAGGAAATAAGCCACGAAGGGCCATCTCCCCTCTGCCTCAGGATCTGGCATCACTTCCCCATTCTCCAAGAATACCGCATGTTCAGGGACATAATCCATTATTCCACCAGGAAGCAGCTTGGCGCCTCGGAATATCCCGCCGCAATCGGCAGGAATGAAAACGATATGAGAGGGATACTGAGCGGTTTCTGGAAGTGGGTGGCTCAGAGCGAGGATGGCGCTTTTGAACACTTTCCCTTTGTCTGTATTCATTTCTGATACCGGTGGTGCAGTCGCCAACAGCATCTGTAGCGCGAAATAGTCAATGCCGTAGGTATATTCCACTGCGAACGATTCCTGATGGCCAGGGAGTCTTGGATTGATTTCGATTAAGAAGACGCTCGGATCGGCAGTGCGCAAATGAACAGCATAATCTGCTAGCTCCATGCCTCGTCCGGTATCCACGTAGCTTCTCTTGCTGTCCTTTACTCGAGCTTCGAGGTGGTAGACCCCATTTCGGAACCCCATTTTGAGCAGAGTCTCGGTCAAAGTCGATTTTATTAGAGATATCTCCGACTCAGGTAGCATCGAGGGCATTATGGGGGAAGATTCTGCGAACGACATTGAGGGTGACATTGACGAGGATATCTCCACCGAAGATGGGAAATCGTCGTTTACCTCGCTCCATATCAGCTTTCCATCCAAGATTACAAAGTTGGCATCAACTTCTGGCCCCGACACGTAGGGTTCCACCAGGGCATTCGTCCCAGGGAATTTATCCTCGTTGCGTTGCGCAGCGCTATGGAGCTCTGCTTCGCAAGTCACCTTGCTAACACCGTCTGAGGCGCAACCGGTCGTCGGTTTGACGATGAGCGGGAACTCCAACGGTGATGAAAGCCGACTCAACTGCTCATCCAGATCGGAAACATTGACGACAGAAAGCACTTGCACGCCAGAAGATGCGACTGACCGTGTCTTGTACTTGTCCCGGCACATCTCAAGAGCTTCAGGTGGATTAGCCGGCAGTCCCATCTTCTTGGCTGCCTGGGCTGTTGCTAAGATGGGGGTATCGGTATAAGTAGTGACGCCATCAATGCGACCCTTGCTGGCTGACAGGGCTGCCACAATGCGATCCACGAGCCCTTCGTTCATCGTCAGGTCACATGGGATAAACTCGTCGCGCATAGCCTCCATGGCGGAGTCTTGGACCCAGTGTCCAGCATGGTCAAGAACAATCAAGTCTATCCCTAGTGCTTGCACCGCACGGTAGATGCCCTGTGAGGCAGTGGACACAGATGGATCGGGGCGGCCATCTATCATAGCAATGCGCTTCCTAGGCAATGGTGTCTCCAAGATCCAAGGAAAGGACAGTCTCGCATCAAACTCGTCTTCCAGTATGGCTAAAGCGGATTTCACTAGGTTTGTACTAAACCCAGGAATTGGGTTGAGCATAACTGCACCGACTGCGCATTTTATACCTCGCCGGAGTATCTCATTAGCGTTGACATCGAATGCGGGTATGAGCTGTTGCAAGGAAATGCAGCCCACTACTTTCTCGGCAAGCGAGCAGGTCAGGAATCGTCTCCGGAAAAGGTCGTTGCGGACGACGTAACCGTTGACTCTGGGGAGTATTAATTTTGCTGCCGTGATTGATGTGCCGTAGTCTTCAATATGTTGCACAATGGCGCGTCCCATCACGCTGTTTTCCGCTTCTCCAGCTAGCACCGGTCGACTGCAGGAGGAAGCATAGGGGCCTATTGATATAGGAACCAATATCAAATCCAGTGTGTAATATAGAGATGCATCATTCGACGGGCTCGACTGTAGGCCCGAAGTAAACCAGGACAAGCGCTATAGGAATCCTGCCGCGGCTCTGAGACAGTGTCCCGGCCGGGGTGGGATCGCAATTGTAAAGATCAGTGGCAAATCTCTGGCAGCCAGACCGGGGTACTAGAAACAGTGTCGCAACACTTTCCTACAATGTTTTACTACAGAGTCCGAGCTACACGAGAATTAATACTTATTTCACCCTAGGGCAGGTACAATCTTTCTTTGCGCTCTTCGATAAGTCATATCAAGGCTCTCCTAGCTTCGAAGCAATATGGCAATTTTCGCGGATCTACCTTCGAGCTACTAAGACTGATTGTCGTCGACCTCGATTACTACTCCTTGAGATCGTTCTCGCTTGTGAATAAAAGATGCAGATCGGTCAGCACCTCAGATATCTTCCATACATTCAAAGTGGAGTTCAGAAAAAGGGATGAAGAAGCTAAAAGGGCTCGCAATTTCTTCCCTAGCACAATGCGTGAGAATACTTCATTATGATGCATCAGAATTAGTCGATCCATGTATGTGATTTTACAGCTCTTCATCTGGCTCCTTACTGATCCTTCTAGTGATTCCGTATTGAGACTATTTTTCTGCCTGCATTTATACATCATAGGAGTATGCAAGAGATCAGGAAGATTTCCGGTGGGAGCTCCGAGGAAAGCAATTTTCCTATAAGGCAATATTTCGATATTTCAAAGGACTTGCAAGAGCTTAGAGTTTACTCTTGAAAGAGCGGACGGATATCCAGACATTTACCGAATCACTTCGGCATCTCTCCAACCTGAATACTATCAAGCTCTCCTTCCATGGAGCAAAGGAAGATCAGCTTCTTTGGTTCACCAATCGAGTATTTCTTGGGGACTCACTTTTTGTTCACCTTGAGGCGGTACTTAGGGGTACGGCTGTTGCTTAGTCTACCGGATTAACCTTAAAATGTATAGAGATTGATGGGATGCATTCCAACTGGCCACTAAAGATGACAATATCCTGGAAATATTGCAAAGGCCGCTTTAGCAAAAGTTGAGAGCTTGACGCTGATAGAAAGCCCGGGGTTTCTAGGGTTTATGTCCTCTGTCCCTTTACCTTCCTTACGGCGGCTTGAACTAGCAAAGTGTTGGCTTATAGGCCTTGATTTAAGAAGGTTCCTGAAAGCCGAAGATGGGAGAGTGCTATACGCATATTTCAAAGACAGAAATCAAGTCTGAATCCTTTATCTGCTCTAGGAATATTGGCCTACAAGAATGTCTTTTACTCACAGGAGATCGTATATGACCGCACAATTTCAATGCATATTTTACAAACTCTCTAGAAAGAATGTTCACGAATAATCTTTGAGAGGTTAGGACCGTTATAAGCTAGATCTTCAAAGATACAGAAGATGAAGAGAGAAGAGAAGTAAGATCCGGAGCAACGAGAGTTCCTAAGAAGAAAGCAAACTTGCAAACGATCTGATCTAGGACGTGAGCTGGCATGTGGCCCATAGATCGTGACAAGGAGAAGAGAGTGCAAGACGACTGTATTGTACTGCACTGGGTACCTGGAGACTCCCTTGGCGGGAAGAAAGAAGATAGAGACAGAGAAAACAGTGACTGGCAGTCCTACTATACAAACACGGGTCAAGTGACCACGATTCCAACATAATACCTACCTACCTAAGGCTGCGGCACCTAAAACGGGTCGCATAGGAAGTAGCAATATATAAAGCAGCTGAGCCGTTGTACCATTGACACCTGATTTTTGACCGTGATGGATGAACAAATTCAACTTCGGGGTAATAAAAAGCGGGCTTCTTCGCGATCAACTTGCCGGACGCGACTCGCTCAGCATATATGTAAGCTACGGGGCTTTTTGAAAATTAAACTTACTAATATCTCTGACCAGTTGAGAGGCTTGAACTTATAGTAGACCCTTCCGAGGTCCGATTGAAGACAGAGGACGAATGTCTCTATACATGGCAGATAGATGATCCATCGCTTGAGCCTCTTTTTCAGAAGCATATGAGTAAACACTCGGTGGGGGCCTACATGCAGCTTCACCGCGAGGTGGGTAAGAAGTTTCGTGCAGTTCCTACAAAGGTAAATCCAATGACCCTTTAGGATAATTGATTGAACTTATAATAGTTCTTATAGCGCGAAAAGCAACCGGACCTTGAAATTGTTGCTCGTATCAAGTTGAAAACCTCAGTCTCGTGGAGAAACTTAGGGCGGCCGAAGACAATGTATCTCGCTTCAAGGAGGCTGCAACACAAGCGGAAGCCAAGATCAAAGACCAGAATTCAATCATCCAGGAAGCGCAAATGACCATTCATCTTCACCAGCAGGACATCTTGAACTGGATGGCCGTTGCCGAGTGGTATCAGACCAAATGTTTCCAGTGCTCAAGTGTATTAGGGCAAATGATGGCATTCTTACAAGACACTACATCTGAGACCAAGTGAGAATTGGTGTCCCTAGAGCTGCATGCTTCTTCACTTCTCTATAGTCCTATCTTACATTTAAAGCGTTACTGTCGTCAGAAATCTTAATATAGTCCAGCCCGTATGCCAAACTGGGCCAGAATGGACCAAAATAAAGCTATACCACAATTGTTTTTTAAACTGGTGAGCTAATTAGAAATTTGGGGACGAAGTCTCCCACGAGACAATTTGTGGGCTTGCTCATACATCATCGTCCTTCGCAGCATAGTTTCTGGCCTGCATCATGGTTTCTGGCCTGCAGCACCGATTACTTTAACTACTTAGTGAGCCTGAGCCTGAGCGCCCTCATAAAAGCGGCGTCAACCAAAATAGGCATGCCCCACTCATCAGGGAAAATACAGCGTCAATTTTTACAACATGCCGAAGTACAAGAAAGCTGTGAGTAACGAAGTTTAGTAAAGTGAGACAAGAAATGAGAAAACTGACTGGTTCTGAATTGGTTTATAGAACGGCTATTTATGGTACGCCACGATGAAGAAGGAGGACATATTACATGAGTTCGACGTGCCTATAGCCACTGAGAGTGTCTTAAATAAATCTAAACTAGATTCTAATATAACCTCAGGAAGCGAACACTCTTGTTATCCGCCCTGGCGAATTGCTCTGCCGTTACCATCCCTGTGACAATGTGGTATGTGACTTGATGTCTGTCCCATGGCCAAAAGGGATGATGAGCGAGAACACCAGAAAGCTTCGAACAGCGTGCCGAGGCGGATGAGTGGGCTCAAAAACATGCATAGATCTTCGATCCGAAGAAATACCCGCTTATACACTTCATCAAGACCAAAGAAATGGACACGCAATACACTACACTTGGGTTGGAACGACACACAATGACAGCTATCAGGGCCTTTGAGCACTATCTGGGCTACTGGCTCGACCTAGCTCTAGCTTTCCAATACATCGCGAAAAAGCAGAAGCAATTACTACCTCGACTGGTAATCGTGAGCGTTTCAAATAAGCGGGGGCAATTCCAGCATGACCAACCTCGAGGTTGAACGGAATCGTTTTCTTCGGAGCAACCACATCCATCAGATCGTCTACATACGGAGGATTGATCGAAAACGGTAGACGGTAGGAAGTTTGGAAATAGATCCAACTTCAGAGCACTAACTAGATATACATCATTTACTAACTACCTCTTTCATGTCTAGGTACCAGGCACTTCGAAACAAAGAGTATCTGTAGGTCAGCAAGCAAAGCACTTTATTATTCATTCTGTTTTATGATGACTCCATAGCATTCATGCGGACGATGCGCAATTTGAAGCATATACTAGGTAATTGTTGGCTCTGAAATAGAACGTTAAGGGCGGAGTATGGAGAACGTCTAGACCCTTACCGGATTTTAGTAATATGGGGCAACGTAATCGACAATGTACCGATACAACTTCGGTTGAGAATGCTTTTCAACAATTTGAACACACTATGTATTGCTTGCGAGGAGCAGGGTCCATCACTACCATCACCATTCCATTGGGCCGACCAGTAGCTTGTCTCGTGGTTGAAAAGCTACAATTCTATTAAGGGTGCAGGGAAATCGGACAGGTTGGCCGTGGATTACGTTAGTTATTTAATTAAGAGGACAGCAATGAGTAAGTGGAGCATTTCACTAACGTCCAAATTTAGCTAGTAAACCGTAAAAGGAAAGTCCCATACCCCTTTGGGACCCCGACGTCCAAGGTGAAATCCGCACTCGAAGGATAAAACGGCTAACTTCTTCAACCCTTCAGGTGACAATAACCAACCATGTCCTCCACTCTCCCATTCTCGATTTCCAGACTGAAGGAATGTGTAGCGACATGCATCTATTCTCACCCAGCCTCCATATCTCTGTACCGTCAACCCACCATTGAAGGCGATGATCACATGATTTTCCTCATTGATTCCAATCCCGACTACATCATCCGAGTCACCAAGCCGCGCGAAGATGGCTCCCGCTCCTACAATGGCCAAGAGATGCAGGCTCGCGACATCGCATTGCGCAGACTTATCCAAGATGAGTACCGGGCTCGTTGCCTAGATGAGCACATCATCCCATGCTCCATCGGGACCTGGCAGCTGAGCGACGATGGGGAATATGTTGCTTCACTTGAAACCAAGCTCCAAGGGTTAGGGTTGCACCGCGAACCTGTTTCTGAGTTGACGGTACAAGGATTGAAATCCTTTCTTTCTGCGCTGAAGAGTATCAATGTGAAAGAATTGGAACAAACTCTAGGGAAAAAATTGCCCTCGATTCCATTCCCCAATTATACATCTCTCAGAGAGTCTGCAATCGAAGCATGGACAAGGCTAGTGGAGCGGGGTCAAGTATCTGTGAAAGATATTGGTGACCAAGAGCCCATAAACGGGTTGCTAGAGAAGAAAACCGCCATGCTCGAGAAGATACAATACCTTTCTTCGGAATGCAGCCCGACACTCGTTCACAATGACATAAAAGGCGAACATATCCTCGTAGATCCCCGAAGCGGTCGGGTAACTGGGATCCTCGATTGGGCAGATGCTGGAATTGGGAACCCTGCTGTTGATATCGCTGGGTTGGTGTTGACTGTCGGCAACGATCCTGCGAAAAGAATCGCCCGGGAAGTGGGATATGGAGAGAATCAAATATTGCAAGGGGTTCTCCAGGCTCGATGCGAATGTGTCATAAGGTTGGACGATCGTTTGAATGGGGATGATAAGCAGAGTCCTGTGGATTTGTTGCGAGATCAGCTTTTCCTATCGCTAGAGGATTGATTCTTTTTACTTTTTTTTTTATAAAAAAAGAAAGATTTTATTTCTCCCAAGGTTTCTCTGGATTGTAAACCGCATTAAAGTGCTTTATTAAACAGGTATGATAGTTACCAACTCCTACACTTGCCCTCATCGAAACAGCTCGAATGTTGAGGTACCTCATCAGCAGCTTTCCGCCGTGACCGGAGCTAGTAGATCATTTATGATGATAGAGAGACATTACTTACGCGATTATTTTTATATTGAATTCACCTTAGTTCCCCGAACTGGAAGTCGAGAACAGAGTACGTCCCTAAATTGACTTCTTTTGGGATCAATTCGTCGTGGGTTTGCTGGGGTCATCCCAAGATTCGGTATGTTCGGGCTTTTCACGTTTGTCGTCGGGAAAGGACACATTCTTTGCGATATCATTTTTGTTCCCTTTGTCTGAGATAAGTTCAGTGTAAGTCAGCAAGCCTTCTTATTCAGAAAATACAAGTACAGGGCATGTTGTAATTCTTAGGTACTGTATAACACCATACGTATGATTGATAAGGCTTTTGAAGCGATGAGACCCCTATGCAGCCAACACGCTATGTGACATTCGGTCCAGTCTTGATTGGATTAAGCTTAGGAACATGACGGCTTACTTTAATGTGCTTTTCATTTCTTTAAAAAAAGTGCCATCAAAACGAGCTTTGTGGAGCATGCATTAATTTATTCCTGTGAGAAACGACGGAATAGACCGGTATCACACTAGTCTGGAAGCAAGACAGTTAGTTCTATGAGGTCCTTTCAAGTGAAATGGGTACTACTGGGAGTGAGTGTCATTATCCCCCAAGGGACGAAAGGTAGATTTATATGAATAATACTTAATTACGAATTTCGCGCATATCGCCTTAACTCTCGTGAACAGCTATGATGCTTTTGGCGTTTAGCCTCAAAGGCCCATAGAGTAATTGCTAAATAGATACAGCTACCTCAATTGATCAGAAGAGAACACACAAACCGCCCAAGTTGTTGAACATTAGAAGGAAAACAAAAGCGGGAAAAAAAATCTGTTATGGTCCTAAAAGTGCACGCAAGCCTCAAGCACCCGCTCCTGCTTCTCGAGCCCAGTAAAGCGCTCGACGCTTCATCCCCTCGGAAAACCGCTGTGCTTCATCGCACCTGAGGATGACCTGACCCAGCAACTTCCCGCCGATATCCTCCCCAGCTACGACCGGGTTGTGGATATCGCTGTCCATCGGGAGGCTTTCCTGCCTGCACATGTCGAGCCCGAAATCAGAAGCACGCACCGTGCGGGTATGGTCAAGGATCGTTGGTTCTATCAACAGGATGTGCACCACCGCGAAGCCGATCATTCGCCAGTTTGTTCCAAATTTTCCCAACAGTTGGCCGACTTTCATCTCTCCGTGATATTGAGAGGGCAGCCAATATGTGCCAGACTGAGGAAGCTTCTGAGGCCGCGTGGAACCTCAAGGTTCCTGAGCCTCTCCTGAAGCTTGCCCTAGTCCAGTTCCCCTCCCTGCGTCGCGATCTGCTCACGACCGCCCGCATCAGTAAGCCTTACATTCCCGACATGCACGCCGCATCCGCTTATGACTGCACGCGGTGCCAAAATGGTGGACTAAGGCGTGAGGGCGTGCCCGCCCGCTGTAGTAGCGGCAGCCATCCGCTCAAAACTGGATGCATTACCTGAGGCCCAGCGCTGCCTCAATCAGACAACGTACGGGCCGGTGAGGTATGACCCGATTGCCATTTTTATTGAGACAAAGCAAAGACGGCGGGTGGCATGACCGAGGAAGCAAGAGTGCAGTTGGGCATCTGGGTTGCCGCATGGCACAGGCGGTTGGCGGCACTCATGGAGACGCGTCCACTTCGTTCCGAACCTGTTGATCGTATTATCACGATGCCTCTGATCGTCATCATGGAGCATGAATGACGCTTGTCCTTCGGATGCGATAAGGGAGATAGAATCGTAAGTGCACACCTATACAGACTAATCAATCTCAAACACCTCTTTATTTAATTTCTCCGTTTCATTATGGCTGACCTCGGAGTCCATGGACAGGACATCGTGGGTGATATGGCCATAGGCGACACGAGGACGCTGCTGGGTTTATATACCATCCTCGCTGTGATGCGGAAGCTGGCAGCATGGGCCGGAAAAATTCTCATAGAGTGGATACAACGAGCTATACTCTAGTTATTGACTCCATCACCCGATAAGTCCCTCGGATAGTCTTCTTTGTACAAGAGCCTGATCATCAATGCCTTCAATGAAGGCAGCCCTTCCTCTGGCCCCCTGTGTCCCCGTTTGTTCTCTGCCCGAGAGCTTGGCGTAGTCGCCAGATCAACGTGTTTGAACAGACCCGAATAAACGCCTTCATTGTTACTGGCCACCGATGGCCAATACATCAGTCGATCTTCGATCATCACAAGCCTACTATCGGCCAGCGATCTCGGTGGATCTGGAAGCTGATTCTCTGTGTTGTGTTGTCTAGCGCACAGCTCGATATAGTCAATCAACCTAGTTAGCCCACGTCCCGACCGAAATCCAGACAGATTTTCTGCACCAGATGGTGAACTGAGTCAATATTGTACAAAAATACAACTTCATCACCAACACCGCCCACACTCCTGGCGCACTACTTGAATTAGATCAACCTGCATACCGCAGCAGCCGCTTCCCGCAGGCGACGCTCATATTCAAGATACTTTGGAGAATCACTTGCAAAACACAACCGACTATGCAACGAGAAAGCATTGTGATAATACTACGTTATTAATAGCATCGCTTGAACAATAGACTCATCCAATTTTCGCTCAGATTTACATCAGTCTTTGCATAGACCGCTGTAAAAACGGCCGGGTCCGTAACAGGTAATTCGAAGTCGCTCGTGAAATAACTTTTGAATGCTACAGATATACACATATAATGACTCATGGTTACAGGATAACCTGCGAATTTGAGCTATGAAGCGTAAGTCTCAGCAAAGCTTCCTTGGGGATTCAGCAATGAGGGAGGCACGACTCGTGCCAGTTTTCCGAAGGTCAAATTGAATTGCAATTCGCGAGGGAGGAGCGGCCGTTGAGGCTTTGAGGAGGGCACGTTTCGTCCTTTATGCCTTCCAAGATAGTATCAATGCGACTGAAAGACGTGTGTTTGCCAGCGGGCAGCGCTTTGTTTACCCTCTGGAGGTAAGAATATATTTTCGTGCTCTCTCTCCAGTTCTCTTCCTCCCTTCACACCTTTTGCATCTTACATATTTTGAGGTTTGCTCTTCATCCCCTTTACTATACCTTTTCGTGGTCTTTCCAAAGTTATTTCATCCTTATTTTTGTTGTTTCTCCTTCCACTATAGCTTCTAGAGATCTCGTGACGACCCCGAAGCATACACGGAATGATCCCACCTTAATAGCGGGAGTCCGGGGACCAGTCGAAAGTTACTTAACACTTTAAGCATAGAGCAACGGCCTAGTGCATCCGCTATTTCCGCGTCTCGCTTCATGACTAGGATAGTGACGAGAAATGGAAGCAGCCGTTCAAGGTTGAATGTTACCGGGATACGCATCTATCTCGCTTCTATTAACGATGTAACGGGGCTAGGGACAAATTAAGTTAGAAAGTATTCGACCTCTCCTCGGTGTCATTCTGTTTATAAATCACGGCTGTTTCTAATGCTTTTCTACAGATTTACGAGGGTATCCGAGGTCACGGGTATAAATTCCATGCTACAATCGAATGGGCTCGCGATTTTTAGATCAATAAGGATTAAGCCAGCGGTATCCGTGGCGCCGTAGCACAGTGTAGTTGCTTGCATAGGGCTTTAATGAACTGATTTATCTGGCTCAAGATGACACAAAGGATGTTATATGTAAGAACACACCGTTCCTTTTAGATGTCTTTATGGATGTATACGAAGGCGGTAAAAAGCATAAACCGTACAGAGAACTTTTCTATGTATAACTAGGGGATATCTGAACATCATCAGCGCCCCGCACGGTTGAGAGGACCCCAGTTAGCACGAGGATTGAGCTGGTACCGCACCAGTCGTTTCTTGGTATGCGCAGCAGACACCTGACGACCTAGAGCCTCATCAAACACCACCTCAAGGGAACTAGGGTGAGGCCGCTTGGAGGGCTGTGCGGGTGACTTTTCCTTTTCCGGTACAGGCTGATCGGCACTGGGGCGAGTCTCTGCAGGAGCAGGAGCACTCTGCCAGGAATTCCGCGATCCGGACCGGTAGAGAGCAGCTTCAACCTTGGTGACCAAGTCACTGACATCTCTGCCAGCCTCAACGGCGGACATGAGGTCTTTTTTGAGAAGGGATAACCATTGATCTTCATCGCTCAATTTACGCAGGTTTTCACGGCTCTTGCTCATAATTGCAGCACCGGGGGTTCCAGGCTTCAAGGATGTTTCCTTGATAGGCGATTTCTGACGGACCCACTCGCGCATGATCTCCCAAACAACCTCCCAAGGCGCATCGGTGCGGATTGAGTTTGGCTTGGTGTGGCTACGAGTGGAGCGATATCCGAGATGACTGAGAGCACCACGGAACTCGTCGATTGGAATAGTGACTGCGTGGATAACCTTTGATAGAGCACTGAGTGAAAAGTAGAAAGGGTATTTTTCCCGAGCGGCAACATCCATTCGAGGAATGATGGCAGGGTATGCAGGGTCATGCTGGTCCTTCTTGCTTGGCGCAGCCTGTTTAGGACTTGATGGCTCGGAATTAGATGGTGTTAGGTCCAGGTCTTCTTCAAGGGCAGTGGTCAACATTCCTTCAATCCGATCACAGGTCTGATATGTGTCGCGATCAGCTCCAGGAAGCATGTCCAAGATTTTCTGGATAAAGTCGGGATTGTGTAGCGGACCACCCCACATGGGTCCTGCAAGATGTGTTTTCGTGCCGCAATGCTCACAGTACGGTCCGGCTGCGGGGCCTTTGGCTACGCCGTGGTGGTATATGGGGTTTCCCTTACGATCCAATTTTGACCTGGTAGACCCAATGGAT